TTGAAGAAACTGATTTAATTTTCAGTGAAACTGTTTATTCAAATTTTCTAATGCATAGAAAAATGCATATGCCTACACTGATCTGTGCATTAGGGAAACTGCATGTAAATTAGCTTCTGTTAAATGAAACTATGCATTTTTTTAATTTGCAGGCTGATGCAGAAATAGGAAGAAACAGATTTAAGATTCAATATATGCAAGAGAACTGACTATTGAGAGATTTAAATAACTAATACTAGCAAAAATGGATCAGCAGTAGACTGACTGAACTAATTCCTAGTTTAAATATGGATTTTAATGCAAATTTTCAGGTACATTGAAAATAGAGATTAATGAACAAATGTGGTGAATTAATTTACAGGTGAGCTCACATAAAAGAATGATTCAAAGTAAAAATAGACTGAGCCATTTCCTGATTCATCCTCAAGAAAAGTATTATTATTTGCGTACGTGTTTGGTTTTATTCTATTTTTCCTGTATTTTTAAATTGTTGTTATTGTATTTTAATTAATATTTATTGTGGTTTTATTGTGAACCGCCCAGAGTCGCTTTTTCATGAGATGAGCGGTATCGACATTTGAAATACAAATAAATAAATAAATAACTCTTAGCTATTGTTTTGCATATGGCCTTTAGCTTTACTTGTACAGTCCCTGCACCAAAGAGTATCAGACATATCATATTTACTTGAAAGGAAGACAATCCTGAATTTAAGATAATCCTTAAAAAAAAAAAGAAAAAAGTAAGTAGGATTAGACCAAAAGAAATTTAAACATATACAAAAGTCCTCTGCAGTGCCCAGTTTCAAACGAGGATTGCCAGCTTCAACTGAAACAGCTGCTATATACTTTTATACAGTGATACTTTTGTATATGTTTGTGCATATATGCATGTATGTGTGCACATACTGGCTAGAGGTCACGCTGCAAAAAAGGGCAGGTCCAAGATGAAGAAGAAGAAGAGGAAGAAGGAGGGAGGCTGGAGAGGTGGTGAGGGGAGAAAAATGGGATGGAAACAAGGGGGATAAGGAAGGAAAGAAAATAACAGAGAAAGAGAACAGAAGGCCCATCAGGTACTTGGACTATCTACAGCAAGTACAAATCTACAGTAGGTGTGTTTTAGTAATTTTGAAATCTTACTGAATTCAGTCTGTAGGCTGCTACTGGGCTGGGAATGAATCAGTTTAGTGGAGCGATGGAAACAGGCTAGGGTTAGGGTTCAAATTCTTGGAGTATTGGAGAAAGAACTCCCTGTCCCCCCGCCCCCTCAACACACACACAGATACACACTTCCATTTGCAATAAGAAAACACTTTGACAGAGGCATTTGTGCTGGGTTGTAAGGAAATGCAAACCTATGCATGATTACACAGTTGCAAATCCCATTGAGATCAATAGCTTTTCCAAATAAATATGCTCAGGATTATAAGACCTGTTCGGTCACTGTGAAATCCATCGAGGGAGATGAAAGCTATTCAAAAGGGAGTAGGATGACTGTATACCAGCCCTACCCACCCCTCCTGTTACCCTCCACAAGGAAGATGAAATAAAAAGAGAATGAACGGGAAGCAGGTGTCACCTTTGTTACACCTTTTTCTGCGTCTGTTCCAGCCACCTGCTTGTATCATTGGCACCTAGGTGCCTCCATTCTCCCACTCATCCTCTTGCTTTTAACTGTCTTGATTATAAGACAATCCTCCCACTTCAGAGATAAGTCAAAGTCTCTTCTGTTAACCTCCTCTTCTCATCTTAATTGGCCTTCAACAACTTTATGAAGCACACACTTAGCCTACTTGGATGTCAAGGATTCCCTTTTGTCCCAACACAGAAGGTTTCTTAAGTCTCCTCAGCCACAGTCACAACTCCACCTCCAAGTTGAGGTTGGCAATTGATCCCCCGTCTACACAGATTCTCCCCTACCTACCACCCTGTAAATCTATTATTCCTTGCTTTAAAACTCCCCTTTAAGATGTCTGAAAGAACAAAGCCTTTCCTTCTGAAGAATCTATGTAATTCTCACCCTGTCTACTGTGTAAAACCATGTTCTTAGCACCACCACATCCCAAAACGTAAGAGTGGCATTCATTAGGGAAACACCGCTTCAGCTAGGACCTTCCTAACCTTCATTTTAACTCTGCAGACATGGATTTCCTCCATGTTCTTGCTATGTCATGTTCCTGCATTTCTTAGTGAAGTTTCGGGGGCAGACCTGTATGTTGGAACTAGTTTCCCTCTGAATTCTACAATAGATTGCAAGCTTAGCAAGAAAGCATAAGAACACAGCTCTTTCCCTTCCCTGCGTGTTCCCTCCCTTCACCCCCCTCCTTTTATAGATATTTCTCCCTAGGGTTCCCTCCTCCCCTCCCCTCCACCCCCAGTTGAGGCTTTAGGATTAGAAATAACTCCTCGTGGGAGGAAACCCCCCTCAGCAAGGCAATTTGGGAGATGAAAAGCGTGGGGGAAGAAATAACACCCCCCCTTTCTGATTTTTTGCTGTGCTTTATCCTACTACATGCTTTATCAGCATTTGGCATGAGGCTGTTTCTCACATGGTGCTGTAACATCTGATTCAATGCCAGGGAAATTTTCCTGGTTTTCCTACCAGCTTTCATTCAATTTGATGAGAGAATTTGCTTTTGAAAGTCTTCCTAAGAAAAGGATTTTGGAAAACTTCTCATGGGTAAAACAGGTGCTCTTGCGTTTATATTATTACAAGGTGACCAAGAGGTCTGTGTTGATATCCAGCCTTTCACTGTACCATCGTTATGCTGGGGGTCTGTAGTCTTCCTGGCTTCCTCCACTCCTATTAAATCCCAAGGGAGCACATCATGACTATCTTTCTGAAAGGAATACTACTGTCACCCTCCCTTGAGAACCTACAGGACAATTTCTCACTCTCCTGGAGAAAATCTGAAAAATCATTTACCCAATGTCTCTGCCCACCAGTTTGGAAGGGAATTTGAAAGATTCAACTGTGCCCAGCTTTTATCTGATTTGTCCTCTCAGGCTATTTGGGGAAGAGCATTTGTTCCTACTCTCTGAAATGAGAAATTGCTTTAATTGGGAAAAGTTATCTGTTATCAGTTTACCATTTTAAAACCATGTCTGGTTTTCTCATAATTTACACTAAATTCTTTTTTTTTTTTTTCTTGGTTGGAGCTGTTGCTTTACTCAGGCCCGGTCTGTCATATGAGAAAAAGCACTTTCGGGTATGAAATAGTGCCTCATACCTGTTAAACAATGACAGGACTCTCTTATACTTGTAGTATTGCCCATCAATGAGACACCAGCAAGTGAGGTGAACAGTAAATGAGCTGGTCAGTTGAAATCATTTGGCAAGAAAAAAGTGTTGTAAAGCAAATCTTCCTGTCTTCAGATATGGATCCTCAATGTTTGAGTTCTTGATGGAGAAAAATATCATTTTAGCTATAGTGAGAGCCCACAGGCAAAAAGAAAGACGACACCAGCAAGAAGCAAGTATCACAATGCAGTTTATTGGCAATTCCAAGCATGAAGTTGTGGAGAACAACAGACAGGGCAGGAAAGCCAAACCGTTGCTATTTTATTTACAATAAGCATTTGGGGGCACTTACAAAACAAGCCATACAAAGCATTATGCATTTTTAAAATGTTCTTCATCAATTTGAAAATGTATTTAAACAGGTAAAAATCATCACCTTGCAAAGGGGTCCACCAAAACAGTACCACAATGATTTTTCAGTGGTGGATGAAGTCAAATTCTATGCTTCTTCCAGGCACAGAACATCAAAAAGCATCTCTTAAAAAGATGTCTGACCTAGTTTACTAATTCCCTATTAAACGATGTGCTGTTTTGACTGTGCGTATTCTTCAGGGTGTTAGAAGTGGCCTGCCTACCATTATAATTGAATCAAAGCGCAGGAGTTCTTTTTTTTCTCTTGGGAAAGAATTTGGGGTCATATTGCTTCAACCAGCCCACCCATTAAATGGCCCTTTCCATTCTCAAATGCCATCTTAATAGAAGGATTCCATACTTCCAAATGCTCTGGAAGACCAAAAATATACCAAACAACAGAAAGAGAACAATGGGGCTTAAGTGGAAAAAGTACAGGCCCTGATGGTGCAGTCCAGTTGTGGTTACACCTTCCTCCTGCTTTCAGTGGGATTTAAGAGGATGTCATTATATAGCATTCATTTGGTGGTTAAAGCTTAGAAGAAAAACAGCAGAATAAGGATTCCCTGAAATGTGAAAGTGGAAGCGAAACTATGACTAAAAAATGAATGTCTATGCTGGAAACAAAGTAATTTTAGCATTTAAAAACAGCTGAAACAAAAGATCAGCATTTTCCCCATCCTGTTGATTTCAAATGTGGGATGGGAATTGAGTACTTACGTCTCCCACTGAAATCAGCAGGGTGTTAAAATGCTTTATGTGTAGTCCTAAAGGTTTGTGCTATAACAATGGTATTTAAGGGGTTTTTTTTTCCTTTTAAAAAATTATTCTGAGAAGTTTTGTACTTGGCTTTTTGTTTGTTTGCTTTTGACTAAAATTAGCCTTTACCAGATTCCTTTTCAGATTTAAAACTTGATTGCCAATTCCTATCACAAATTGTCATCATCATCCTTTAGTTCTTTGAAGCAGACTGTGGGAGGAAACAAACACTCCTGTTCGATGTGGGGGAACTTTGATTCATTCAGACTGTTGGCAAGGTGGTACTTCTTTACTGAAGTCAGAATTATAATAACAGAGAAAGGAAAATCAGGGATACCTTGACAGCCACAAATCATATTGGTTGGGAAAGATACTTGTAGCACTGAAACTGCCTGGTGAAGGGGTGACATGAACCATTTCTCATGAATAGCCAACACCTGCTCAGATGTGTTCATTCAGGAGGCAAGGGACAATGTCTGTCCTTATTAAACTTCTCAGAAAAAATGGAAGAATGACTAGCTTGGGGACTTGTGCCGCTGCTGGCAGTTAGAAGTAAGGGCTTTTTTAGAACCAGTTGGACATGTGTGTCTTTATCTGACCACTTTTCTGCTGGATGATGAGGTTGTGGTTGAGACATATTTCATACTCGAGGAGCCTCCTCCACCTCCAATGCCCATTCCCCCACCATAGCTTCCAGTACTGTAACCACTCCCGCCAGTAGTAACCCCACTGCTCATACCATAACTACCACCACTGCCACCTCCCATTGTCAGGCTCAGGCTGCCTCCAGCACCACTGCTTCCCACTCCTCCACCGCCCCCCAGACCAAATCCTCCACTGCTCACTCGAGCACCACCTCCACCACCTCCGATGCCGTAACCGCCTCCACTGATGGTAGATGAGCTGCTGATCACCGCTGCAAGAAAAACACAGGTATGTTACTGGGCTATGTTCCAGCCTTTGGCCGTAGCCAATAAGAAGGCATGGGTGGGGACCACAAGGGCATATCCAATTCTTGGGGACTACAAGGGCATATCCAGGTCATTCTCTTGGTAGCAGTACAGTGTCTTCTTCTAGGATACTGATTTCCCCACGATAGTCCACAGCCCTGAAATTCTCGGATGGTCTCCCATCCACGTTCTAACTAGGTGCAACCCTGCTTAGTTTTTTAAGGTTAGCCAAGTTGGCACTATTGCCAAACTGCTCGCTCCAAGCAGTTTGAAAAAAATTCCATCTAGTGTGGGGCACCATTCAAAATTAAATCAAGGGTTATCTCCTATAATGAGTATAGATATACTCCTATAATGAGTATAGCCTTGGAGGATAAACGGAAGATCTACTACCAAGACAACAATCAGATAAACAAGACTTGAGCCCAGGCTAGGAAAGTGGTTTATGAAAATACCTCAGATAGTTCCCCCACCCCCACCCCAACTTTAATTCACATGAAGATAAAAGAGGGAGAAAGGGAAGCATATTCAGACTTGCAAGATTCTGCTACTATAGCTGTTCTAATAAAAGTAGCTTTAGGTCTGCACGGTGTCTGTTTCTTAGTCTGGTCTACCTTATAAGGCTGCCATCTCCATTCCTTCTGATATTTAACAAATATAATGTCTTTGTTTCAGCCTGAACTGACCTCAACTTAGTCTCATTTTTTCTCCAATTTATGATTTTTTATCGAATTTATTATTTTCACCAATAGGGTAGATACCCACACCCACAGTAGTAACATTTCTTATTTGAACCTCTTGTCATAGTGACAGAGATTTCTTTTCTTCCAAGATTTCTAAATTGTTCAATATTATTATTAAACAATAAAGTCTGTGCAAACAAATGCATTATCATGGGCCTTCAAAGATAATTAACATAAATGAAATACTTACACATGCTCACAGGGGTAGTGAGTTCTCCAGACATCCTATAACCAAGAAAGAGGAAACAGTGTGTATAAGTCAGCTAGATTCGTCACTGTAGCTCAAGCCTATAAGACCCTGTCCTTGCAAATAAAGATCTGGGGAGAAAGTATCAAGTGGAAACCAGAAAACATCTTGTCACCTTAAATTCTCTGTAGGATGGGTGACAAAATAAAGGAAAACAAACTTTGTCCCTACTTCCTTCCATCTTTGTAAAGGATGGGAGTTTGGGTAGGGGGACATTGATGTATTTAGGTGAGAGATGTAAGTTGCTCCTGGAAAAACCCCTCTAGAAATTACTCTTCTTAGCAGCTGATCACCATGAACCACATTTCCTCAGTCTAGTTCTCTCCTGAGACCACAACTCCCTTGATCATGCTGGTTGGGCACTGAAGTCAAAAACATCAGAAGTCTGCCAGGCTGAAGAAGATGACTTTAGACACAGGATTTGTTGAACAGAGCAAATATATAACTAGGAAATGGCCTTCTTTAAGGAAGCGAGACCTGAAGTATAAGGAAATACCTATGGAAGGTAAGCTCATTGAGGAGCTGGGTCTGCTGCATTTATTCTTTCCTGCTTTGGGCTCTTATCCCAAAACTGCCTTAAACAGTTTGCCACTCCTGGAGACTCCAACAATTGATATACTTTCTTCACCTACTGACTCCTGCTACCTCTTTAAGTATTTTTCAACCAGCATGACCCTCCCATTTATGCTGGTCTATGACCGTAATAAAGATTTGATTTGATTGACCCTCCCATCTTTTGTTATTCAACAGACCGAATATAACTAAGCCATGTGAAGCTTGACCATGGACTATTGAAAAGAAGAACCCACATCCAACTAATCACATTATGGATTAGTACCACGAGTGAACAAAGTTGCAGAATCATACTCTTCTTTTACAGTGCATAAAACAGAGATTCGGCATATACCATTAGAGATAGGGGAGTTCAAAAGAATGTCCAGGATTGGATGTGCTACAAGTAGAGAGGAGACCTTTCATTTACAATCTAATTCTGAGAAGTTACTGCAGAAAAGTCACTGGCCTTAGACTGAATGGAAAAAAGAAAAGTAGATTGGACTAGATGGGCTTGGCCTCTTTGGTATAATTGGCTCCTATCTCTGCCAGCCCAAGGTAGCTTACAGCTACTCTGCCTTTCCTTCCTGAATATTAAACAAATTAAAAGAAAAAGAAAAAAAAATTCCTGGGGCAACTTGTGAGGATTACACAATAGAGCCTGCATCCCCTTGTAAAGTATCATGCAAGAGGCAGGGCAGCTGTGTAATAGTAATACACCATCTGAAACACACCCCTGAGCTTGGAGGGGTCACATGAAGGATTAGGATTTGGGAGGGAACCGAAACAGGCTGCCCAGTAGTCTTGCAGCGGCTCACCCTCCCTTATCCTGGCCTCAGGGGATCCTGCCCTCCAAACCTGAGAAGAACAAGTTCCTATCGGTGCTTGCCAACTGCAGATTTCACATCTCCAACATACTGGGAAGGAGGAAGAGAAGGATGCGCATCTCATGCTGGCAGGACCTGCGTTTCAGCACTGAAGGAGCTGGCTGCCTGAAAATGGTTGGACCCACTCTGCGGCTCTGCCGGGAACCCACAAGAAAGCATTTTGTAACAACTGGTTGTGACCGTGTTGCAACACAGGTGGTGCAACCTCCCTGTCAGCTTCCCTCACCTTCTCATAGGTGCAAAACCAGTCTTCAGCATCCAGTTACCCTTTCACTCTCAGAAACAGCTGCTCTAGTGTAACTGTCTTAAGAGTGCCCTCCTGAGGCCAGAGTGCTCATCTACTCTGCAGAAAAACATTGTGAGGGAAAACAACCCTGACCCTTCTTGCCCTTCAGGCTTATCTAGATTGCAAGAGGAGTCCACCTTAGCATCTGCTGTTCTTCAGGGTCAGAAGTTAACCTGAGGCATGTGAACAAATGATGCTAAATATATCTGTGTGCCTTTGGATGTAATCAGATTATCCCTTTTTTACGCCTGTGTAACTACTGGCAACTACTTCACCTCAAGAATATAACATATGTAGTTCAAGGGCTAGCGCAGCATTGTCCTTTCCCAATTTGCTGAATCAGACAGTGGCCTAGAGGAAGGCTCAGAAACACACCATGCCAGCACACAGAGCCTGGTGACAATACGTGTTCTGCATACAGATCCATTTCATAGTCATTCTTTCTTCCAGTCTGTAACTCAGTAATTTTAGACCCTGGGCTACTTTAGCTGGTACAGGTAAGTAACGCTAAACCATGGTCTTCATTATCTAAAAGTACTCCCTGCCTCTTCCTCCATCAGATGACCATGCTCTATGCTCCGCTATTTCAGACTGGCTGTTTGAGGGGCAGCTGTGCTGTACAACACTTTGAGCCCTGAATTCCACTCTTGGCTGCACCAGGGTTGATTTATGGTTTCCAGAACTACCTGCAGCTATATCTTATGGACATAGAAAAGGACAGTGAGGTTTGGCATCAACACTGGCCAGCCCCCCTTCAGTAGCTGACAGGGTTCTGGTGCTTGGAGTGGGCTTACAACTAATGCCTACCCCTGGGCTTCTTATTCAACAAAATTCAAGCTAGTGCTCCAACCAAGACTAAGTAGCAGAATCCAGTCGTCATTTAAATTCCCAGAATGCCATGGAATCACACTGTCTCAGAGGGATAAAGAAAATGAACAGCTTATCTGCCCTGGCATTGCTGGGAGCACTTTGGCACAGTCAGCTAAGCTCACTAAAGCACACCAAGAAAAGAGGTGGCCACAAGAGGTCACTTTGCCCAGTTGCCTTTCAGCAAGTCCTTCAACCAGTAGTTTGTATCATGCTTCAAAGCACTGTTAAGAGAAGAACTGGAGGACCAAACGAAAAGTAGGAGCTCTTGATACCTAAAACACAGCTTTTCCTCGTGTGGTTAATAGAAGCTAATTTCCTTTCAGAGAAGTCAAAGCTTTTAAACTCCATCTTTCTCCCACTGTCTTGCCTTATGGTCTCAACTGGGAAAGAGATGAGGTGCAGTTGCTGTCTTTCTTTTGAAAGGACAAGAGAACTCCCACCTCACATCTTTTTTTTTTTTTTTGGTCTAAAAAGACATAAATGATGGGCTTCAAGCCTTGCCCAGATGTCTTGGCCCTGCCTTGCAAAATCTTGGTACAGCACAAGTTATGTAGGTGCCTTCTACCATTTCTTGCTACCTTCCTCCTCCCCCCCCCCAAAAGTCCATTGATTTGAGTGAGCTGGGAAAGGGATTAGTAAAGCCATAGCTGAACTTCTAAGGAGGGACAGGATAGCTGTATTCTCCTCCTCCACCACCATAATCACTGGGTTGAAGACAAGGCAACTCTTGGCCTGGCAGCTTAGGATAGCTTTCTTAGGCCAACTCCCATCAGCCCTAAGAAATTAAAATATTTGAAGTCCAACCCATCTGAAAGGCACTAGGTTGTGGGAGACTGAGCTATGGTATGAAGTGAGGCAACTAACTTGGAAGGAAATCTGTCAAACACAAGGGGAGTTACTTTAGGGTAAATACACAACGGATTGGATTGCAAATTGATGAAATCTTAAAATGTAAAGACACTGCAGAGAGAACCAGATTTAATTTCAGGCACGCATCTTATGCAGAATACAGGCCTAAAGCATATTTACTTTGTTCATAAAACATGAAGAAACGCTTGACTAAGGATTGCTTCTATATCTGTGCAGTATTTTCTCTTCTCACAACCAGTTAAAATATTGGGGATGAAGGATAACTTTATGTCCGTCTCCTAGTCAGCAACCAGTTCTTACTATGATTAATGTCTAAGCAGTATTATGATATGTGTAATAACTGCAATTAGTTCCAGATCAAGTAGAAAACATTCTTAAAAGCCCACCCTAGAAGCATTCTCAGCTAATAAGAATGCAAATTATGGATGTGTGGAAATGTTTTCTCCTATACTGATGAGGTTGAACAGCATGTAGCACTTCCTAAATATGCAAACTGAGCATTCAGACATTTCAACATTATTGGAAATATGCCATACAAATGTTAATGTCTGCATATATATAAATAAAAAGCAAGTAACAAAGGAATGGCTGCCTAATTCTCTTGCACAATTAACACATGGTGGATTGTGCCACATTCTAAACTTGCTATTGACTGCTTGAAAATCACTTTTATCTGCTGGCTGAATACACCATAACATATACTGTCCATGAATACTATCTGCACAAGAAGTTGGCTTTTGGGATAAAGCTAGACATCATGTTTAGGGAGAGGACCTATTTAGGGGCAGAAAGAGAAAAATTATTTTGATCAAAATATCTCCTGTCGCTTTTTATTGACAAGATTCTTGTTGCTCCCATTGAAAATTTTGGTTATTGCTGAGTTTGGGGAAAATCTCACCTGCATAATGTCCTCTCCAATACAACCATGGAGCCCTGTGGAACTTTATCCTATGCCCTGAATTATTCTATGCAGAAAAGGGCTGTTTATTGCTGCTGCGAAAGGAAACTGAAAGAGAGCGAAAGAGGACGGAGGGCAAACTGCTCAGAAGTAAATGAGCTAAGGATCAGGACACCCAGAGGCAGGATGGTTGAAGAAAGACAGCATTCTAAAAAGAATGAACCAGAGGCCATTTTCCCTGATCAGGCATCTGCTAGATATACCATTTGTGTCCGGTTGGAAATTCTGGGAATTTCCTAAGAAAACAATCAGTGCAGGAAGCCTGCAGAGAAGTGAGGACATATGAAAGGAGGATCAACAAAAAAATAAGCAGGCTCCAAACATAGGAAAAGATTTGTATTATAGGCTGGAAAAAGGATGGTGGACAAGCAGGATATTTTACTGGTAAAGATCTCTAAAGATAGTTGGGTGCACAGGCTGTATTTCATACACAGTTTCCGAAAAGAAAGATATCTATTTCAGAAAATGAAAGATATCTATTTGCATATTCCTTTGTTTAAGATTGGATACAAATCCACACATAAGAGTCATGCATACCTAAACAGGCATGTTTCACTCAAATACGTGATAGGAAAGCGAAACAACACAAGATGGTACCCACCTGCATTCTTCGCCTTCTAGCAGGGTGCGGTATGTAGCAATCTCAATATCCAGAGCCAATTTGACATTCATCAGCTCCTGATAATCCCGCAGGAGACGTGCCAGCTCATCCTTCCCATTCTGCAGAGCTTGTTGCAGGTCAGTGAGTTTCACTCTGGCATCTTTCAGGGCCATCTCCCCACGCTGTTCAGCATCAGCAATTGCTCCCTGGATATTGGTAATCTGGATATATTCATATATTAATTAGGTTCTGATTTCATGATATGCGTATGTCATAGTATGCATTACTGTATGAAGTATTAAATACAGATGTCTCAAGAATCCATTGACTAAGAATCAGCACTTTCCTACATTTCTGCTACAGCAGCAGGCAGTTAAGTGTTTACAAGGGAACGGTAATGATCCCAGGATCATGTTATCGTACAATGGCTTTTATTTGGATCTCAGATCCCAAACAATTAGATGGTAGCAATTAACTGTCCCAGTTACTCTTTAAATCCGTACTGCAACAAGGACATGGATAAAAGAATGGGTTATGAAACTGATAGGGTGGACAGATTCTACAGGAATCACATGTCGTTCAGTGGACAAGCTAAAAATCCAGTGAAAAGTCAAGTTGACTGGTCAAATTCAGTTTCGGCAAAGTGAACTTCAACAAAAGCGAGATGTAACTCAAGGGATCCCTCTGTGAATTGTAATGTTTTCTCTCCTTCACTATCGCTTTCCATCAGTAAATCTGTTCTTCAGCAAACCAGTTCAAACTGATTGCCACCTTCTGTTCCCAGGCAATTTCCAGCTATGAGACTTACAGGGCAAGATTTATTTATGTTTAATAATAACATGAAAATGTGCCTTGTTTTAGGTTAGATAGTTAAATGGTTTGATGTGCCAAATGCCGATAAAGTCTTTCAAAGTCCTCTTTTACCAGTACATCTTCCTGGCCTAGGGCTTAATTCAAATTCTCAACCAGTACATTTTTTCTAAAAATCTTGAGAAAATACAATACAATATCATAACAAAAACAGATCTTGCATCTTGAATCATTCACTGCATTTAGGAAAATGGGTGCAGGGGTTTTGATTCTGGATGTTTTCTGAGCTTTTGTCAGCATATCCCACAAAAGGTAAAGCATACAAAATCAGGAAATTATCAAATGCAATATCTTCCTGCAAATGAGAGACTGAACCAAGGAATCAGGCAGCTAGTTCTATATTCCAAGTTATATAATATATTCAACTTTGAGTAATGCTTCATTCAAATTATAGCCTTTCTGGAGCTAGTGAGTCCATTTATAGGCATTTTGTAGGAGCCTATAAAATAGAAGCCAGCGGAGATGAACTAACACTGGCATAATAGGGTCACAAGACCCAGTTTCAGATTAAAGAGCATTTTTAGGAGCAGACTCATGTAAAAAAAGTATGCAGCAATTTAAATGTGAGGTTACCAGGTGTAGATTAATGAAGTGAAGCTATTTTTATCCAGGCAGAGCAGCAGCTGGCACACAGTCAAAGACGGTAATGCATGACTGACAGGTAAGCCTGAGAATCAAAGAATACCCCCACGTAATAGTTCTTACAATATATCTGAGACCTGCTGAAGTTCTGCTATAGGAAAAGAAATAGTTAGCAGCTTAGAATATTTTTCTGCACACTCTGTCTCAATCCAATAGGCCTGAGTTATAAACAGTTACAGGAAAAATAATATCCTGAATTTTCTGGCAGTGATCATTTAACCAAGAAGCCATCCAACATGAATGCATATGTTTGACCACTTTTCCACAGAAATACATCCTGTTAAGATTCAGTGGGAGAGTGCTCCCTAGCATACATGGATAGAATTGCAAAATGAAGTATTCAAAATATGAAAGCTGAGAGCTGAAGAACCTGTAACAAAGATAGAAAAAGAGACAAACCCATGCAGGCAAGATTATTACTGTATTCAAATGCCTGCTTACCTGTTTCTTCACACCATCAATTTCTGCTCTTAGTCTCTGGATAATCCGATTCAGTTCCACAATCTCATTCTTGGTGTTTTTCAGGTCATCCCCATGACCAACAGCTGTGCTCTGAAGTTCCAGAAACTGTAACACCGAAATAGATGTCATAGTCATGAACTGGCAGGAAGCAGTACCAGCTTCAGGAGTTGGGCAAGAGGCCTTGGGTATGGGGTGACCTCAGTGTGTCACCTTCCCTTGGAAAAGGCAAATGAAGAATTTGCCAACCTTGCCACCCCTAACCTCTAGACCTAAATCTGATTCAAAACAGAAACAGGGATCCAAATTTTTGCTTCTCATTAAGAAGCAAAAAAAAAAAAAAGTTTCCAAGATTATGGTTTATGTATCAGATCAATGGCATTGCAGTTTGTGTTTCAGCAGAGGCTCTGCAGGCACTGAAATGTTGTGGTTAAAATGGTAGTTACAGAACTTGTCGTTGCATTATTTCTCATCAGACTCCAGACTGCAAACCCCATCATGTCCAGCCAGCATGGCTTCTCAAACATCATGCCTAGGATTTTTCTGTTCTTCCCAATAGTCCAAAAGGTAGTCCTTGTTACCACCCCATTATAAAGGAACCTATGACATGAGGCAGATGCCATGCACTCAGGTTCAATTCACCTAAAGGAAAAAGAAGACCCCGTTGGAAGTGTAAACCCAGGAAACCTCTCCGTGGTTTGAATGCCAGCCCTCTCACTTCAGGCTTTCCTACTGGCTAAGAAGAACATTGGTTCCAGATTAAGAGGATAAGCTTATCTTAACTGCACCAGCACCAATGAGAAACTTATACAAAGCCTTACCTTGCTTTGGTACCATGCTTCTGCCTCAGCCCGGCTCCTGTTAGCAATGTCTTCATACTGTGCTTTCACTTCAGCAATGATACTGTTGAGGTCTAGATCTCGGTTGTTGTCCATTTGCAAGACAACATTGGTGTCAGTAATCTGTCCTTGGATTTGAGCCAATTCCTTTATGGAAAAACAAGATGCTATTATCCATCTGTCCGTCCATCTATCCACCAGTCCATCAAGATATTTCCCATTGTCTGCCCACCACACCTTTGCTTAACAATTGAATCATACAAAAAAAGTTCTGTGGGAGTCAACTCAAAATAAAGATTATGCCTCATTATGGCAAAGAAGGAAGCTGCCACCAGGCTGTCTAGCCAGTATTGTCACCACTGACCATAGCATCTCCTTGAGGCTGTAGATGGGAGTATTTCCAGTCCTATCTAGAAAAGTAGTATTTCAGCCTGGAACTTGTGTGTGCATAGTATGTGCTGTACTATTAAGCCATAGCCATTCCCTGTTAAAGAACATGGGCCAATTACTGGGGCCAGGGTAAGCCACATAATGAGAGCCAACTGATTTGGGCAAAATCAAAATCCACATGACCTCTAGATGGAACCAAAATGTAGAGTTTTTGCCTTTTTGCTGCTATCTGCTGGTCATTCAGGATTTTGCAGCCTAGATATGGTCTGTCTGGATTCACTTGGAAGATCCTCTAGAGAAAATCTCACAAGAGACTTCGCAAAGTTCAGCAGGATAAGACTAGCGCCTTCAGGAAATGTTCTATCAATTTATGTGAATTGTGCCTCTCAGAGGAGGCCTCTATTTCTGGGCAAGAACAGTGACTCTTGAATGGACAGTTACAGTTCAATATATTGCACAGTTTCCTTTGATTAAAAAAGAAAACTAAAACAAAACAAAACAAACAAACCACCAGACCAGAATACTGCTGCATAACAAAGAGAGCAAAGAGGATAGGGTTTTTACTAATTGCACATTCTTAGCACTGACATGGGCCAGTAACATCATGGATGCCAACCAAGTGCAGCTTACATTCATCCATCTCACATTCATGTCTTTTCATGACATGCTTTTCTGTAGCTTCTTTTGGAATCTGGTAAGGCACTTCTAAAATTATAAATTAAATCTGGAGTATAGACTGCATTTTGGGCCATTTTTAATTAAAAACCAAGCAAGCCAATCCTCACAAATGAATTCTGACACCATTTCTTCTCTTGGGCCCACAGGGCAACCAGTAATTTCAGTCAGTCTCCAGGTGAGGACGAGATTAAGAAAACTGACTTAAAACTGACTCTAGGTGCCACAACCTAGAAGTTTATTCCAGAAAACCCTGTAAGTCTTAATTTTTCATTGGATATAGGCTTTCATTATCAGATCTTTTTCATACTGTAGTTTCATTCTAGTCTAGTTTTATTTTTCATTTCAAACAAAGTTTAACTTAAAGAAACCTGGGCAACCTTTTTAGACATTTCCCAAGCTTTCACAGTAGCAGAGAACATGGCCAGTGCTATAACGACATGACCAGAATGGGAGGAAGTGGATTTTTTAACCTGAGGATGAAAACAGGTGGTATAAGAGAATGTGGTATGACCATTCCAACTGACCACCTCATGCCTAGGAACACATTATTAAAAATATTCTGATTTAAAGCATCACTTAAAAAGTACACTTTTAAAAAAGACAGCACTTTCTCTATCACTGTTTCTAATACTGGTAGGCCTCATGTATATCAAATTGCTTACTGTTCCAAGGAGACATTACTTAATTAGAGGACCTGACTCTGATTTCCTCTTTCTCCTTTGTAGTTCAGTGATATCTCTGATTTGTGTGTCAGTCAACACCCCTTTAAACCTATTCAAAACTTACTAACTAAAGAAGTAATATGCGGCAATACTGCAGTTACGTTTGTAGATTACACTATGCCAGCACTAAAGAAATTACATTACAGTTTACTGCAAAATATTGACCCAGCCAATTGTGGCTTAATCACAAACCTGGGCTAGCAAAATCACACCGCAGCATGATGTGTGAATCCAGTCAAGAACTCCTAAGCTTGTGCAGTGAATACTGAGCGCCCCCCCCCCGAAAAAAACATGGCTTTGATTTAACTCCCCAGGAAATATTTAAAGTAGAACATGGCAGTTCATAGGATTGTCAATAAATCACAGTTGCTGTATTTACCAAGCAAGATCATTCCATTTCTTCCCAAAATGCAGTGTGATTTCTAGCCCTGATGGACTTTTCATTGCTTTGAATTATATGACAAGAACATTCAACACTTACGGCCTCATAGAGGGCTTTCAGGAAGTTGATCTCATCTGACAGCCTATCAGACTTTGCTTGCAGCTCAACTTTATGCATGAATGAACCATCAACATCCTGAAAGAATGCAACACATAACAAAATTACATAAAAGCAGTTCAAGGATTCCTAGACAGCTGCTTCATACCAAGTTGGACATTTATTTAGCCCATAGAGCATACTCCAACTGGCAGCATTTCTTCAGAGTGTCACATGGAGGCTTCTAGCCCTTTATTTTTAATTAACAACCTGGGCTTGAACTTAATGCCTTTTTACATCATAGAAAGGGGTTGGGGACAGGAGTCCTCCAAATGTTTTACACCACAGAAAAGGGGTGGAGAAATTGAGGTCCTTCAAATGTGGCTGAATTACAACATCCAGCAGCTCCAGCCAATATAGCTAATGGTAAACAATACTGGGAATTGTAGTTTATCATATATGGAAGACTACAGAGTGTTTAGTCCTGTTCTACATGCTGCAAAGTTCTGTATGATGCATATTTCTATTTATAACTGTCCCTTTTAATTCAGCATCTTGCTCTGAATATGCCTCCAGAAGCTCACTGCCTAGTAAATTGATACGAGCTCAATATTATATGTCAAAAGATAATGAGTAAGTGCTTTTTTACAGTGATGTAAAATCTAGAGCATCTTTTTTGGTTGTTGCTTTATCAGTAATCGGTTCAAATTTAAAAGTGTAATCAACCTTGTCCTTCCAATGAAAAGGCCGTGCAAAGTATTTTGATAATTATCATACAATCCTGATCCAGTTTCTTGCTTTAGCACAGTAAAAAGGGAGTGGGTTTGCAGATATTGTTGGGCTCCGATGCCCATCAACCAAAGCGAAGGATCAGAAATTGTAGGAGCTGTGGTGCAGCAATAGCTGAAATGCTGTATGTTTCTCAGCCAAGCTAAGAAACGTATGGTACTTTGAACCAAGGTGTTTTTTTTCCTTATGTGTAAACATCTCCCAAATACTAATTTTTTTTTTCCTAACTTAATTTTTTTTGTTTTAGGACAGTCACCTTTTTGATACCAACAAAGTCATTTTCAGCAGCAGTGCGCTTGTTAATTTCATCTTCATATCTGTGAAGAGAAGGAACTTGTTTAGATTTTCAGTCCTCTTCAAAGAAAAAGCCAGACAGAGAAGATGACATATAAAAGAATGCCAATCAATGGCTTACAATGGCCTTGACAAGACTGTCATAGAAGCTCCTCTTCTAGGAAACAAATTGTCTACATCAGTTCTAAATTAATCTGCAGCACAGCAGCAGTGTAAAAGGAAAGAAGAAAACTCTTACCCATTTTACAAAACTATCTGAGTCAAGCCATCTGCAAGGAATATCAAGTATGAATTGTAAATATCACTCCTAATTGCCATACAGAGAGGACATTTCACTGAATTCACCAGCATCCATTTTATATCACATGCTTGAGAAACCTGGGTTTCAATACTTCCTCTCCTCTAAAACAGTGTCTGCCTTAAGTTCTCACACTATTAAGTTGACCACTGGAGCCTGGCCAGCATTTCTGTGTGTGCAGGCTTGTCATCTTTCTTCCATCATTGCTGTCCATGGCAGCTCATTACAAGTGTTGGACAGCAATTTTTAAATAAACAGTTACTTATTACTTATTTATACCACTTCAGTCACAGTTGATTCTAAGCTGTTTGACTGTCTAAGAATATACGTAAAAATAACCGATAATCTAAAAACTATACTGAAGCAATTATAGTACAGAAATTATCACAATACAATCCAGTCAGCATCCATCAACATTAATTCATGGCATTGCAATCTAACTGATGTGGTCTCCTAGGCCTTGCACAATAGCTGAGATTTCACAAGCTTCTGAAAAACCATAAAGGAAGGGGCTATTCTTGCTTCATATGTACTTCTGTAATACATCAAGGCTGTGCAGCGCTCCCAATTCAAAGGTCTCAATAATCCTGCTGCAACTTCGTCAGTCAATTACATCTTTGACTGGGATGGCACAACATGAGCTCTGTAATACTACTGTACAGTTATAATGGTTACATATGTATAAAAATAGTACTGTAGAAAAATTCTTTTTTTTTCATTTTCCTATCTTTTCTTGTCTTTTTCTTTATCTTTATGTTATCGGATTAGTCTTAAATTTTGTTTTGCTTGAACTATATTTATGCCCTTAAAATTTTTGTGGTACTTGTAAAAAAAGCAATAAATTTTATTTTTAAGAACAGCCCTATAACATATGCATATAGAATAAGCACTTATACCATGAATATATATCTTGTCTATGCTCTGTGTGTGTGTGTATAGTACTTTTTACACACAGAGAGAGAGGGGTTTCACCAGTCTTCAGTGTGCACCAATACTCTTAATTTAATCTGAAACAACATCTGAACGCTATTCATTTAAATAGCAGCCTCCTAAAATAAAATTAAATGAGGAGATGAGTAACTTTGTCAGATAAATCACAATTGAAAGTCTTGGTAGGCATGTAGATAGTTTGGTTGCACTACACAAAGTTGTAGTGCAAATGTTTGTTATTAACATTCTTCTCATTGGCTGTTCCATATATATTATTATAGTTAATGACTATTCCATATACATGCTTTTTAAAAATATCATGCCAGTTCCATTTCATTTTATTGTAACTGTCTCCTCAGCGTATCTGATTTAATTGTTGTTAGAAGATTTTATGATCCTTATTTTATGTGCCAAGAGGCATTTTTATGATCCTGTAACTGCTTGCTTTAATGTCCTCATTTCTTTGATAAACCAAAAACGTCTCCACCCTAAACCACAAGCTAGAGTTCATGCCAAGATGCCACAGCTGGGCACAGTTACAAGGAAGAGAGGTAGGATGGGCTGCTGCAGCTTCCTCAGAGCTGCATCTCAGACTGCTTCTTCCTGATCCACAAGAATATTTCACTCTATTACGGTGGTTCTCAAAGTGTGGTCTGGGGCTCCATGGGGGTCCCTGAGACCCTTTCAGGAGGTCTGCAAAATCAAATAAATAAACAGTTTAACATTTCTCAGCTTTAGTGTCTAATGCAGTACATATCAATAGATGTAGTCCACATAAGCCAAAGCTCTTTGGGGTCCTCAATCATTTTTAAGAATGTAAAGGGCTCCTGAGACCAAAATGTTAGAGAATCACTGCTCTACTAAACTCTTCTTGCAGATACCAGACAAAGAACGTGGTTAGGGAGCTCCTAATATGTTTATTTTCTGCTTGCTTTGGTTTTGCATTTTGTGTTTATTTTTATAAGGGAAAGCCTTACATCTTTTATTCCCTACATACACCCTTGCAGACTGAACAGTACAGCTCTTGCCATCCTCCTGACCTCTCCCAACCTGCTGTTTTTGCTAAGTAGGCCTCGGAATCTCACTTACTTCCTTCGGAAGTCTTCTACAAGGTCCTGCACATTTCTTAGCTCTCCATCCAACCTCCCTCGATCGCCCATTAAGGAGTCCAGTTGCCTCCTAAGGGTGCTGATGTAAATCTCAAAGAGGGATTCAACGTTGACCTTTGGGGCTGTGCTGCCATGTTGCTGCAGAAGGTTCCATTTTGTTTCTAGCACTTTATTTTGCTGCTCGAGAAACCGTACCTGAAATCCATAGAGAGAGACAAAGTAATGCTTTCAGAAGCACCTTTAAACTGGAATCTACATCTTGTTATATAATGAGGACTAGCAGCATTCAAATCAAAGGATGGCACTCACAGTGCCACCTGTGTGGCAAGACAACCAATAGGCCACCCAAATTCTTAACAGGGCTACCAGATCTAGGCTCAAAAATCTGAGCAACCAGGAGACAGCAGCGAAGATTCAGAATTTTCTACCTTTCTTTTCTGCCATCTAGTAGTCATCCAGATGTTGCAGCTCAGGTCTTATAGCCCTATCCTTAAATCATGCATACCCCCCAAAAATATATTACATTGCTAGGTTGTAGATAGATTGCTTCTGCGCTTGTTTGTTCTTTGCTGACTCCTACCTGTGTCCTTCAGGAAAATTAGATTACAGCACCCGTCACCCCAACCAGTAATCCAGTATTCTGGAAAATACAGAGCTGGGCAAAGTTGCTTTGAATTACTATGTCACCTTTTGTAAAAATGTTTGGCACAAATAGTGCTGCTAGCTGACCAGGGAAAAAAATGGTACTAGCAAATTGCTATAAACAGTTGTTTCCTTTCTATCAATATATGAGAAATTGGCCACCCAAAAATGAAGGTATAGATCGTACTTTATGTTCTGAATCTAGAACCACCTGTACCATTTTCATGACAGTCTAAACACTATACGAATGGCTGCAGTGCGAGGAGGATTGCCAAGTAACTATAGAAAAAAATGGAAGTTATATAACAAAATTCTTGTTATATTTAGCACCAACTTAATGTGCAGAATTGCCCTTTTCCCAGCATGAATATTACCTACTGACATCTCACATCAAAGTTCTCGTAGGGCAGTTGAAAAGCTGCGTATTTCAGTTTTACAAAATCAGCATCAAGTGTAAAAGTCTTGCAAAAGTATAATTAGTGTACTGCCCCTGTCTTGGAGTGATTTGCATCTCGTCAACTGAGATGGAGAGTAAACAGCAGCAGCACCATGCTACTACAATCATATCCGTGAACAGGGACCTAATTTCTGTGCAGAGGACTATAATTCTTGTTTCAAAAGGCCTTCTGACTATTGCTAAGACTGGCTACATTATTTTAAGAGTTGCAGGCCCTAAGATATCTTCAAGCTTGAGTCAAAAATCTGTGCAGGAGAACTTGTATACAAATTTGCAAAAAGATACTTGGAATGAAACCCAGCAACTGCCGCTTGAGGATACGGTAGACAATAAAACAAGCAGTTCTGTATTATAAATTTAAACTGATTTTGTGGCCAACCCCTCTTCCTGTGGAACTCTGGGAGTTGTAGTCTTGTGTAAGATACGTGAGATAAGTGTACTGTGGGAATTTTGCCGCTGAATCTCTGAACAGCTTCCTGGAGCATTCTGTGAACAGTGTTCTGTGGGAATCCTGGATTCATTGCCCCAGCCTTGGTTGCAGGAACTGGGGTTCAGAATCTTGAAAATGTTTTGCAGAAGGGCTCCTGAGTCGCAAGATTCAAAACCTGTGCACCCAGCTCACACTGTTTCGCAGCTCAAGGGGTTCAGATTAGTATTGAGATGTGCAATTATAACTCTTAAATAGTCTATATAATAATATTATAATAAATAAATTCTAAGAAAAAGAAACCCCCAAACCAGAAAGTCTTGGCTCTGTCCAGTTTGCATTATTACCCAAACTCTGCAGGTCTTGGACATCCATACAACATTAAGTACAGTCTCCTGGATGTCAAAACATTGCTTAACCCCTTCTGTCTTTTCAAAAACTAAATGCTTGGTTTGGAAGAATCATATCTGACCTTGTTTTCATCCAGGATGCACTTGGATGGTTCACTTATCCATTCCTCTCTTGCAGTCTCATTCACAGACTTTCCCTTTGAGACTACCTGCAAAGAACTTGATGATTGACTTAACTGACTCACCTTGTCAATGAATGATGCAAACTTGTTGTTGAGGGTCTTGATCTGTTCCCTTTCATGTTCCCGCACTTTTTGAATCTCAGGATCAATCTCTAAGTGCAGTGGTGACAGGAGGTTGGGATTGACGGTCACTTTCTGGATGCCCCCTGGAGGAACCATGGGACCCATTCTTCCTCCACCACTGTAGCCTCCCACTCCTAAAGCTAAACCATAACCTCCAGCTCCAGCTCCAGCTCCATATCCAGCTCCATATCCAGCTCCATATCCAGCTCCGGCTCCATATCCATATCCATATCCACCACCACCACCACCACCAAATCCACTGCCACCACCAAGTCCTACACCACTCCAGAAGCTTCCTCCAATGCCACCATGGCCAATTCCATGAGAGATTCGTTTGCTACTCCCCAGACTGTAGAGACTTCTACTACCAAAGCCCCCACCCAATCCTGTGCTTCCCCTCACACCTCGGGATAATGAAACTGAGCTGAAACTAGCTTTTGTCCCACCAGGAATGATAGCAGTGGAAGACGTATATCCCCGGGAAGTCCTAATCCCTCCGCCAGATCTAGAACTGAATTGCCTACTCATTGTGTCTAATTCAAAGAGTGCAGAAGACAGTTGAGCAAACGTTGTGCTACAGAGAAGGAAGAAAGAAACAAAGAGAGAGAAGGACAGCAGACCCCTCTCTGAGGTGCAAATTTGGTCTCCCCTCTCTATATATACATCTATACGTGGAGATGGGCTTGGCTGGAATTAGGTAATTAATTAAGAATAAGATCGTTACTGGGCTGGGTTATATCTGGCAGCAACAAAAATCCCTCCAACTATTCTTAAAGGTTCCTTTGAAGTGAAGCGCTGCCTTAAAATTGCTTGGCTTGCAGGCTAAAATGCTTAAATGGCACAAAACCCATGTAAGCTAACAAATTAATTTTCCCACCACTGCCTCTACACATAAACCAAAACATAATTAACAAAGCTGACAACAATGATTTTTTTAGTTCTTAAAAAAAAAAATTGCTTTAATTGTGGATTATTATTATTCAGTGCCATACTTCAAAGCTATATAGAGGTTCCCCCCTCCCCCTGCCACCATTGGTTTAAACTCTAAAATCTATAGCATGGTAGAGATATTGCAGATGGATCATTGCTTCCCTGAGGTAATTTTGATGCAATTCTCTTGCTTTCTCCTCAAGACAAGTATGGAAGAGCTCTCATCATTTCTTGGAACAGGAACAGTTCTTTTTCTAGCCCTAGGCCAATCTCACCCAACTGCTTTAGGCAACAAAACCCCTGCTTCTGGTCCTGTAATTGAGAAAGGCTATCTTTTTCCAGCACTGCCATCAAATACATGCTTCTTTTCTTTCTTTTCTTTTCTTTTCTTTTCTTTTCGTTTCATTTCGTTTCTTTCTTCAGTCGTTGTGCTGTTGCTGAACTACAACTCCCAGCAGATGTAGAGTATAGTCAATGGTGAAGAACGCTGGGACTTTTACTTCAACCACAGCTAGATCCTATAGAGCCCTCAAACTTGTTTAGATGAACTGCAGAAAAGGAAGGATTCCCAACCCTTGGTACCTTTTCATTGAGAAGATCAGTAGTGGTAGGCCAAACAGATCATTTCCTGCTTCTGATCTTCCCTTATAATGAACGACAGCATGCACCTGTTTTGGATCTGAGGGTTGCACTTGGTCTTTAATTGGCAGACTGAAAGCTACTTTTCAAGAGTTTTGTGGTCAGGCCAAAAACTAAAATTGTTTAAATTTATTTAACACCATGATTACTCCCTGAATTTTCTCCTTCTGTCATGTTAAAAATCAAGAGTTGTTGCAACTTTTGAAAGTCTTCTGAGAAGGGCACATAAAGTATTGGGGTCACAGGTTCTGTAACTTAGCCATATATGATGCAGCTACAAGAAAATGGCTCATCTATTCCAGAATCCCCTCTTAATTTATTTGGGGGAATAATGACCCAAACAAGCCTAAACTAATCTTCCAGCTGAACCTACCTTACACCCGTCAAACTGTCTACATGTAGACTCCTCCTCCCACAACTGCAGGAGCAGATTTTTCTCTCCCTGTGAAACCTGCAATGCTGAGCCACCAGCCAGTGACAGGACCACTGGGAATTTGACACAAAGGATGAGGCAGCAGTTGGAGGCCTGCTGTCTATAATTGCAACAATGATAACTGGAATATAATGGACAAAGGGAAGGCATCAATTCTTTTCAATCTTTTAAGGTCCAAAGCTTGGAAAAGACTGTTGTAAGGAAAGGTAATGTAGCTTGTTTAAGAAACCAAGGACCCAGAACAGCAGAATCCAGCAGCCTTATATGTGGGGAGGAAGCAGCATAGGGACTTTCTGAGATGTTAAAACATTACTGGCTACAAGTCAGAGATCTCCCACCCTTCTTCAGCCCTGCCAACCCTCTCAAAAGAATGATGCAGCAATCCTCTTCCTCCAGCTCAATTGTGTACATTTCTGCAACCAACTTTATCTCAGGAGCTAGCGAAATCCTAACCCTGATCACATATACTATCTAAATATTTTCATATATATTAGGCATAATTCACTATTCAGAACGCACAGAGGCAAAATACCATGCCCTTGACAAAGAGCATGACAGGACCTGATTAGCAGCTACTGTTTTTTAAAAGAGTTTTTATCCAAGAACACAGGAGCTGCAGCTGGAAGCAACAGGAGCTGCAGCCCTGAAATGAAGCATGCAGGAAACATAGCTCTAGAAGCAGAATATTAGACCTGGCTAATCTAAGAACTTCATATGATTTGACTATTCCAAAGATGGATATATCCTTTGGTCTCTGTAGCTGCATCAGGTTCATGTGGAAATCCCAAACAGCCACTAAGTAAATAAAATAGGATAGCAATTTGCAGCCAGTGTTTCTGACAGATAGGTAACCTGAATTTGAATCTTCATGTTATGTACAAAAGGCAAGAAAAATATTGAACCTACTGCTCCTTCCTTAGAGTTAATATACTGTAAATAATTGGGTGAGTTCCTAGGGACCCAAGAAACAATTTCTTCAAACCATCCCCACTCATCCTCATGAAGTTATGCATTGGTAACACTGCTCCCCACATGCTCTAGATCTAAGTTGGGGGTGGGGTTGTTTTTTAAACTTATCAGAAATACTTCAGCTTTGAACACTTTGTTCTCAGGCCAAATTCTCCTTTTCAAATTTTGGAAAGGAATGTTTTTTTCTAAAAATACTCCAGAAATATGAATACTGTATTAGATATCCCTCAGTATCAATATATGTTGGCAATTATTTCAAGAACATTTGAAATAATCTGCCAGAAAAACCAAAGCAACCGTTTCATCAGGTTGAAGTACTGTTGGAAAAGAAAACAATAGCTGAAAGACCACGTATTTGGATGTTTTTCAACTTCACTTCACTTTATTCTATTTGATCATTCTACATCAATTGTTTTAATTCCAGGTGGTTGTGATAAGAACTGTAACTTTTAAGAATTCTTTTTCCCCTTCTCCTTCCTCATCTGTTTTTCTTATGTGCCATGACTTTTAAATTTTATTCCTGAAGGCAGGTACTACAGACAGTCCCCTACTTACAAACTTTCAAGTTGCAAACTTTCACCGATACAAACAAGATGGACCAGGAAGTCAGGAGGAGGAAAAGGGTTAGTTTCCAGTGTGCTGCAAACTAATCCTTTCCTGCCTTCTCCTGCCTTCTGGGAGGTTGGAAGCTTGTATTGGAATTTACAGTGCACTTTGGGAGGGTGCAATCTTCAACCTTCTTCCTGCAAGGCCTTGCGAAGGGCCAGCAGTTTTGCCTCCCGCATAGCTGCCCCCTACACCTAGGGAGCCACCACTGCCTCTCCTGCCTTGCCTGACAACAGAGCACACGCGCCCCACTGGCTCGTCCCACTGAGCTCTCCAGTCTGCAAGCTATCGCTTCTCATGTTGGCAGCAAAAGACAGGACTCCTGTACCCACACCACTGCCCTGTTTCTTGCCTCCTCTTCTTTTTCTTTTTTTTAACTTTTGACAGTACTTTTTACTTGGTTGGACTTACGAACAAAACAGACTTACGAACAACCTCTTGGAACATAACCTGTTCATAAGTAGGGGACTGTCTGTATCTTATATTTGATCTTTGTTAAGTCACTCTAAGACACCTATTGCTTCAAGAAGCCTGGTTTCCTTACATTTGAAGGAAATGTAATCAAAGCAAAATGAATTGGTAGAAGCATTACTAAGAGGAAGGTCAGTGAATAATCAAAGGTTAAAAAAATGGTTGATTTTAAAAAACGTAAGTTTCTAAATGATATATAATTCAGTATTACAGAGATCCTACAAATTTCACTCTCCAGCCCAGCTAATTCTCACAAGTAGCTAACAGGGCTGTGCGGTGTTTCAGATTCAATTCCTCAAAGTTGCTTTGGAGCACTTAGGATGCAAATACAGCACCTGTCTTCAAACAGCTGGATCTTTTCTTGTTATCGTTGGTAGCTGTGCAGTGTTTCTAATGTGTTTAGAAAGTGCTGCACAGAAAATGTTATCAACTATCAACTCTGCCACAGCTTGGACTATATCACTTCAAGCTGTACTAGGTACAGATCCAGATGAAAAAAAATGATGATACATGTGTTGCAATATCATGATGCAACCCCTGGCCTTTCATACTTGCATTGTGATGTTGGATACAAGTAGGTAAGTAATGTGATTTGCAGCATGACATTGCAATGCAAGTTTTGTCATTTGTCATCCCTTGCCTATGCATGTCTTGCACAAACGAATGTTGTTGCATGCAGTAGAAATCCTTTTCCACTTTCTCTTGGTTTCTGACACTTCACGAGGTATTGCACTGCAGACTTATTCTTGTGTTTTCTTATATGCTTTCCTATAAGTTATAAGTTACCTCATAAAAGCTAGAAATTTGCCTTTTAAAACTTGCTTTAAGGGGCAAAGTGGACATTACAAGCAAATGACTATAAATGGAAAGTTCAATCAAGAGAGATTTGGAATTGGAGAGTTGAGAAAGAAGAAATGTGGTACCTTCCTCCAAATGCACAAATTTGTTCCAATGCTCACTACTCCATGATGGCTTCTGGAAAGCTCACATATGGAAGGTCACGGCAGGAAAATAATTGTTGGGGAACAATTCAGGGAAAGGATTAAGAATGTTAAGAATCAGAATTGCAGCTTCTCAAGGCTTCTTTCTCGCACCCATTGATCAGTAATGTACATGTCACAGACACACATATATATCCATTTTGCTTGTAGCGTGCACCTAAAACTCTGAAGACCAGATACAGAACATCTGCACCCTGCATAAACCAACTTCTAATGCTATATACTAGCACCTCTGGCCTTTTTTTTTAAGGCAACAGGCAAATGCATCAGTGCCAAATTATTTCTGAAAACTGGCAAGAAATCCCTCTCCTTGACAATGAGAGTGCAGGAAATTAATATCACTGAGGAAACGCACCCTGGCCTTTGGCAATACTTCTGTTGAGTTGGCAGTAATTTTAACCCGGCATGCATTCAATCAGAAGCCGGGGGGCAGAGACCAAACTATCTGGGGCAGCTGAGTCCTATCAGATATCATCCAG